GTCGGTTAATACATAATACCAACAATTTAAATCTAATAATAAACATTTGTGCTAGCTATTAATGTGTTTGGAAAAATTTAACAAAATTCATAAATACAAACAAAGATGAATTCTATTTATAAACTAGTTAAATATGTGATACTATTTAAAACAATTAAGTTGATGCCTCTAGTTACATATAAGGGAAAATCGAAAGAGTGCTTAGTAATTGTAAATCAATATGTATCTAAAATAATCAAAAAAATATTTCTGGAATTATTTATATCTTATTAGTAATCTGTATAATTTATTTAATTTATGAGTAGTTTACGATACACGTATCATATTGTACGTGGAGGAAGAAGTGAAAGTGCTGTAATACAATTCTATTAATTATTATTTATTATTTATTTATTTATTATTATTTATTAATTATTATTAATAAAGCAGCTATACGGATTCAGGACGATATTCCATGTCATGGATAGATTTGACAACCAACTCGTATAAGGGTGAGATTATTTGTGTGGTCGCTTTTATTAATATTGTTTCGTGTCGATGTACGCGTCTTAACATGTCGATATAGTAATTGTGATTTAATGAATATAACCAATAATTGTATGGAGTGTTATAAAAAAAAAAAAATCATAAATACTATTGTTGCAAAAGCAGCTATCCATTACGCTCACTGTTTTTAAAGGATGAGCCAATGAATGAAGGGGAGCGCGTGAGGGTTGGACTTGTCAATAAAAATTCTATTATTGTTATTATTTATTAATAGGGGACAATTATGTTGTGATTTTGCATTAGTATTTATTGGATTGTTCGTCTATGTTTAATTGTGTATCCAATGACAGTCAGCATTAAATGTTGTATTAGTTTAACCATCATGAATAGTAAACTAATGAATATTCCGATAAATCATATTCATAATATTATTAGATAATATTTGGGCTATAAGGGTTGAATATATGGTTTATTATCGTTGGGGGTGAGTTTATGATTTTTTAACCAATGAAATCTGGTGTTGACAATATCATATCAACTCCCTCCCTCGATAAAAATCATATTTAAGTAATTTGCAGTAATATTATTTTAGTTTAAACACAGTTTTTGTACGTGTCGTGTAAAAGTCAAGTTTTTCAACAAATAAGTTTCAAACATTTTATCTAATTGTTTTTTTGAAGAATTCAATAGAAATAAGTAAGTAAAACTAATTTTTCTCATTTTTTTTGTATTTCTTGAATCTTATATTTTAATTTAACGATAAGTATAGTTAATATTTAAACTGATGATTTGTATTTTTTTTCTAGAAAAAATTTCTGTACTGAATAAAATTAAATCAATCTCTCACAATGAATATGTATCAATGGCTTCACTGACATTAAATAAAGAGTATCGGGTAACTACTTTGAGATCTGTGGAAACCAAGTACGGTCGAACATTAATAGCGAGATTATAAAACGATAAACAGCTATGTTTGCCTAAAATAATTTTACTCACAATTTTTCATTTCAATAATAACAATTTAAATATTCTTAAAATTTATTTAAAAATGTATTTTTATTTATGTACTTTGAATTTATCATGTTTTGCTTTATATAAAAATTTACTTTTACTTTTATTCATAGTTTAAAATAAACTATTATGTATAAAAACAATGTTCACGTGTTTAAAATATATAATAAAATCATAGATATTTATTTTATTTTTGTGTTGTTACTTATTTTTAAGTATATATTATTACAAATTATACATTATAAAATAATAATATGTAATGTAATACGCGAAAATATGTAAACGTATATATATATATATATATATATATATAATAATGGTATTTAATTATAAACCTGGAGTCCACAAGCAAAAGTATAAAGTAATTGTGTATTGGTAGAACATATTTTTTTTTTCTTTAAAAAGGTATACCTATAATTTATTATAAGTAAGTATTTGTATAATATATGAGCTGGATACCCCCCTAAACCACATACATGATATGGGTTCACCCTGCCATAGTTAGACGTGAGGTGTATACAGTCGGAAGGGATATGGTGAAAGGCATAGGGACCCTCTTTCCATGAAAGGTTCAGAGTGTAATGAAATCTGGTGTTGACAATATCATATCAACTCCCGAATGTGTCATAGATTATTGTATATAACATTATACATGTGAGAGGGTGAATTATTAGCTCATTAAGTATAGTTTTTAATATAAATACCATATCTCATACCATATAATAGATTATTTTAATTGTACAGAGAGATTGAGCTTATTTACAGGTAACAGTTAAAAGTTGTGAAGAGAATTTAAAAATCGTCAGTAGGTAAAATAAAGGTAGTAGGTACATACAGTAGGTACATAGAGTAGGTACATACAAGAAGGTAAAATAAATTGATAATAGTATCCTTCATATATCGTTAACATATATTTTAAATATAAAAATAGGTGATTACAATTTTAAATATTGTAATTGTGAAATCGATAAATGTTATAATCATAGAGCATTATTAAGAGATGCCTACCATACCTGCCGATATATCGACATTTAGGCCAATGTAGTGATCAATTATTTCGTTAATAATGCTGAGTATGAAAAATATGAGGCGATTATTAATGAATTAATTGAACGCTCATCGGTCAAACTGGAGATTTATTTGCGTGAATTATATGAAAGGCTATTTATCACAAAATCTGATTATGGACATCAATATTGGCTTGACGGTAAAAAATTTATTAGTAATACTTATAATAATAAAATTAAAACTAAAAGTTATTGGACTAAACTAATTTTTTTTATAAAGATTGAAAATTATGTTTACTTAGATTATTTTAATTGTACAGAGAGATTGAGCTTATTTACAGGTAGCAGTCAAAAGTTGAGAGGAGAATTTAAAAATCGTCGTACCATAGATCTTGTTTGCGTGTACAACTTAATTGTATCACATAAACAAGATGAATGTTTAATACCTATCGTTAATTTTAATTTGGATGGCGAGACTGTAGATGAGTATTCAGAGTGGTATTTATAATTTGTAAATAATAAGTTTGTTTTGTTTTAAGTTAATTATTATTATTTTTTTTTTTTTTCATAATTTGTATATAATATTAATAATACTGTGATGCTATCATAATTAGCAATTGTTTACAGTGTTATGTATGTGACAGGATGAAGACCAGGAACAGGTATAGATTTTTAAACATAACTTTTTCGTATACATATATTCTATTTTACATCATGAAATTTAACATTTTTACATGTGTTAATGAATACTTTACAAGTATGTGAGATACAAATCCACCATACAAATGCCTTTTTATCTAACCGACAAATGCATAGACGTTTTTATTTTAATCATAGTTAATATTATTTTTTTAATATCATTATAATAATTCTATTGCAATGATTGATATGTCAAAGCAGAACGGTACAATTACAGTCCTGTACTTTTTGACCTGCGTAATGAGATTGAAGCATCAACCACGTTCCCCGCTAATACGATTGCATATGCTCTAATAATAATTTCAGACAATGTATTTACTTCTTATACACCTTTTGTCAGAACCGTCCGTATAATTTAACATTAATTTTTACACGTTTATGTAAACATTTATTATTAAACTTGTATTTATTATTATTATTATTATAGTTATTATTATTATGAAATAAATATGTTATATACAAATAACAATTTGTATTTTTATTTTAGATTATAAGAAAATAGTACAATATATAAATTTATTGTTCATAAATTATTAATGTAGGTTAATTTTCTGACGTGATTGGATATCGGCCCATTGTGACGCCCATGGACTATAATTATTTTCTCGGGTAAACATTGTTGTATTGAAAATGCCGGACCGTCATTTTCGTCACACATTTCTTCTTCTTTTTCCTAAAACATAATTATAAATTTAATAACAATAAAGGTTATGACAATCTATGTTCATTAAACTCACATTAATTTGAAACTTATCTTCGGACCAAGACTTGACCCATCGTTCGACTATTTCATTGTATGCTAAATTCTTCAGCTCGCTTATGTAATTACTGTCCCCTTTAGGAAAAGTATCGCATATTTCATTCAAACTTTTTATAAATTTAACCATTTCATCATTGTTTGAATGTTGAATTTTATGGCCTGGTCATTTATCGTCAACGTATTGTATGATGTGGTCTATTTGATGGCATAATAGTAAACGTGTTTTTATTTTTCTTGATATTGCACTGTTAATAGTACACTGTAAGTCCATAAGTCTATTAATGTTTTCGTTATTCAATAACACTCGACAGCCATCGACCATCCTGGAATCCAATACTAAATGCATGGTATCACGATGCAATACTTTGGTTATATTAAAATCGACATTTTGGTATAACATAATGTTCCCTCCTTTTACCGGAGATGATTGTAGAAATAATGTTATTTCATCCATCATGTCGTAAATAATATTTAAATAGTCTGCTGACATACTAATATATTGTGAAGGAGTAATAATACATACTGTAACATTGAAGTCCTTCTTTGGATTCAGGCCCACTTGCAAAAATTTTCTGTCACTGAACGCAATAGTGTAACTGCTAGAGTCAATCATCTCGGCTGGCGGTGTTGGTGTGATATCAATGTAACGCTGTTTTCTTACAGGTTCGGCAGCCATATTGATCATAGAGTAGAGTCTTCTTCTTGGAGCTGATGGTTCTTGATGACACTGTGACTTTATCAGCGATTTCTAATCGTTTTCTAATCTCGCTATTAATGTTCGACCGTACTTGGTTTCCACAGATCTCAAAGTAGTTACCCGATACTCTTTATTTAATGTCAGTGAAGCCATTGATACATATTCATTGTGAGAGAGTGATTTAATTTTATTCAGTACAGACATTTTTTCTAGAAAAAAAATACAAATCATTAGTTTAAATATTAACTATACTTATCGTTAAATTAAAATATAAGATTCAAGAAATACAAAAAAAATGAGAAAAATTAGTTTTACTTACTTATTTCTATTGAATTCTTCAAAAAAACAATTAGATAAAATGTTTGAAACTTATTTGTTGAAAAACTTGACTTTTACACGACACGTACAAAAACTGTGTTTAAACTAAAATAATATTACTGCAAATTACTTAAATATGATTTTTATCGAGGGAGGGAGTTGATATGATATTGTCAACACCAGATTTCATTGGTTAAAAAATCATAAACTCACCCCCAACGATAATAAACCATATATTCAACCCTTATAGCCCAAATATTATCTAATAATATTATGAATATGATTTATCGGAATATTCATTAGTTTACTATTCATGATGGTTAAACTAATACAACATTTAATGCTGACTGTCATTGGATACACAATTAAACATAGACGAACAATCCAATAAATACTAATGCAAAATCACAACATAATTGTCCCCTATTAATAAATAATAACAATAATAGAATTTTTATTGACAAGTCCAACCCTCACGCGCTCCCCTTCATTCATTGGCTCATCCTTTAAAAACAGTGAGCGTAATGGATAGCTGCTTTTGCAACAATAGTATTTATGATTTTTTTTTTTTTATAACACTCCATACAATTATTGGTTACATTCATTAAATCACAATTACTATATCGACATGTTAAGACGCGTACATCGACACGAAACAATATTAATAAAAGCGACCACACAAATAATCTCACCCTTATACGAGTTGGTTGTCAAATCTATCCATGACATGGAATATCGTCCTGAATCCGTATAGCTGCTTGTGTTGTATTAGTATTTTCAGTGTCTCGTGCTAAACGAATCACTCTTGTTATGCACCATTTACAATCGATGATATACCATCAATGAAAATTAGTAAATAACACAATAATTTTATACGGGGGTTGGCATGTACAAATACAAANTATACGGGGATTGGCATGTACAAATACAAATGTTTTTTTTTAAATAGCAACTGTAATTGTCCTAATAGCACAGACCTTCCCAATCACAGCCTATTGACATGCTGAATACTACCATGCAGTATTTAGGATGTCAATAGCCTGTGAATGGGCAGGTCTGTGCTGTTATGTTACTTACAAATATTAATAATACATACAAACAATATGAACACTGTGCATCTCTTTAACACACTCCCCTTGCACAATATACTATAACAGTGTAATTTTATATAACCCCACCACTAAAAGGACTCCATTACATTGTATCAATGGTCACCATTTTGTTTAACCCCCTTCACGAGGGGTGTGACTTATCAGCCTATCACAACTCTCCATTTAACCCCAAGTATAGGTGTCATACACCAATGAAAGGTCAACATTTTGTTTATTTAACATTCCTCACAGTGTGTGTGGCATATTGCAACTCATCAATTATTACCCTAGGTAGACCACGCCCCCAATCACCCCATGGGTTAATAGGGGTCTCCCAGAAGGTACCAATATTAATAGAATTTATAATTAATAATAATTAATAAATAATAATAAATAAATAAATAATAAATAATAATTAATAGAATTGTATTACAGCACTTTCACTTCTTCCTCCACGTACAATATGATACGTGTATCGTAAACTACTCATAAATTAAATAAATTATACAGATTACTAATAAGATATAAATAATTCCAGAAATATTTTTTTGATTATTTTAGATACATATTGATTTACAATTACTAAGCACTCTTTCGATTTTCCCTTATATGTAACTAGAGGCATCAACTTAATTGTTTTAAATAGTATCACATATTTAACTAGTTTATAAATAGAATTCATCTTTGTTTGTATTTATGAATTTTGTTAAATTTTTCCAAACACATTAATAGCTAGCACAAATGTTTATTATTAGATTTAAATTGTTGGTATTATGTATTAACCGACTCTACAGGTTGGGGAAGATAGGTCATTTATAACTTTTAAACGAAAAACATTTCTACTCTGATGTATATTTCAATTACAAATTTTGTTAAGCTTGAGTGCTTTAAAAATTGCTAAAACAAAATTTAAAAATGCATATGTTATGTGGCTATTTTGGAGTTGAGCCGTCAATAGTAACGAAAGGGGACAACGGGGGATAACTGGTTAGGCTATATCTACATTAGGTACCGAGGTTTCCTAATTAAATTATAGACCCTAAGAGGAACTACCAAGGGTTGCCCTTCAATGATATATAACACTCTTGATTAGACAATCAATCAATTAGACTATAACAGTGTATTTTTATATAACCCCACCACTAAAAGGACTCCATTACATTGTATCAATGGTCACCATTTTGTTTAACCCCCTTCACGAGGGGTGTGGCTTATTAAAACTCATCAATTATTATACCCTAGGTAGACCACGCCCCCAACCACCCCATGGGTTAATATGAGTTTCCCAGAAGGTAACATTATATACTACTAGAATAGTCATTTGTAATATTCTTATACTTAAAGAAATAATGTAATTTTTGATTTAGAAAATGTAATAATATTGTTCAAAAACTAATTTTACTATTATCGATTATACACACGATATTTAGAAAACTATTTTTAGTTTACACTCATATAAAAATTAGTATTTACCTAAATATGACGTACTATATCTAGCATTAACCTATACAATATAATATCAGTTTTCACTTGTCCAATTTTAATTTAATAAAAAAAAAAAAATTATAATATCTTATAATTTGTGTTGTATATTCATGTTAAACTATAAGTCTTTCTACTGTATAACAATTAAAATGGTTGGAAAAATCAGACTATTTATTATAAGGGAAGCAAATCATATAAATGTATTAAAACACCAACTGAATTAATTCGACCAATTAAAAAAAAAAAATTAAATGCAAATATTAAATTAAAAACAGATAGAATAAGATTTTCAAAAGTTGAAAAAGTAATTATTTCGGTTTATATTAAGCGTTTTTCATCGAACAAGTAGTTGAAAATCATTAAATTATCAATCTTAAAGAACTTGAACTAATTTAAAGATGATTACCCCTTCAACGATTATTTTTAGACTTGAATGTTTTTAAGTATTATCATTAATTTAAAAAAACGTACTATCAAGAACTTCTTTTGGTAGTGGTACATCAATCATCTGAATTTCTGTGTTAAAATAGAAGCCTAAATTGAAACACTTTTCTATAACAATCTTCTTAATATCATTATCTATTATTTCATTGAAATATTCTAAAGAAGAAATTTTTTTTTTATCTTTTTTTATTTTATTTACTGTTTTCAAATCTTGCGACATTTCTTTAACAATTTCAGGTTTAAAGAAACATTTTTTTGATTTATCATTTATATCAATATTAATATCTTCTTTCATTTTATTAAATGTAAAATCAATGTTTTCTAAGATTTTTTCACAAGTATTTGGATTATTCTGTAATGGAGTTTTATTAATAATACTATTTTCGATTTTTTGTAAATGTGACAAATAACAATATAATATATAATCATCTCTTGTGTCGTTTAAAGGAGTAATACATAACCCGTCTAATGAAATCAATGATTCTTTCATGACTGTTGCCAATAAAGTTATTTTCTTAGTTATAGTCAATAAATCTATAGTACATTCATAGAAATTTTTGTTTTGAGATAAAACTTTTTTACATTCATTACAATAATCAATAACCATATTGAATATTTTTTTTAAATCATTAGCGTATGTACAACGAAGTATTAAAGCAGCGGCATGCACTTTTTTATTGCACGTAGTGTGTTTGACAATTGTAATAATATTATCTAACATATATGGTCTACTACTATATTTTACATACTGTAAGTCAGTTAAATGTTGCCATCCATCGTTTTGGCAAAGGCTATTAATAATTATTGTATTTCTTGTCGTGGAATTATTTGGAGCTTCAACAAACACTACTATCACGTATAATAATAATACACAAATTTCAGACAACTTAATAAAAAACATTTTATTGTATCTAGAAAAATATAAATATAAATTTCGCACTACAAAATAATTTTTACCTTATTAAAAAAATTTGTGAAAAAAATCCGCCGAAGTTTAAAACTATATAAATACCTATTGTGTAAATAACATCAATTTAACTGTAGTATTTTATTTTTATTTAAATTTTTGTATGTTTATCAATTATTTAGATTTTATTATCAAAAGAATTTAGGTTAGTTTGAAATGTTAAATTATGTTTAAAAAGATAAAAATTTAGTATTTCATGTGTTCGTAGATAATTTTAAATCATTCATTGTATACTTTTAAGAATTTTTTAAATAATTAAAAAAAAAAATATTTAAAATATCATCCCAATATTAATTATTTTTATTTGTTACTTTTTATATAATGTAGTCAGACAGACTATCTATCATTGTCATGTATTTTTTAAGGTGACTATAGAACTATTGATGTACTGAANGTATTTTTTAAGGTGACTATAGAACTGTTGATGTACTGAAGGTCTTACTAAGTTTTTAGGGTCAAAATAAGACTGAGTACAATTTGTATCATAACACATACTTAAAATATTTAATTTCTCATCAGTTTATATTTTTCATAAAATTATATTTTGATAATAAGAACTTTAACTAGCCAAAACAACAGATAAAAATCTATCAAATTCAATGCTCTTACTAGAAATGTTAGATAATGATTTTTTTTCATGATTCGACTCCTAATTTTAACTTAATACCTTATTCTAATATCCTGAAAAGTGACGTTATGGAAACAAAACATTTAATTATTTAATATTTGGAAATCGGAATTTTACAATTTTGCAATAGGGGTATGTCTTATTTCTCATTTTCTATTCTGAGTATTTGTTATACTTCCTATGTATTATTGTCTTTATTTTATTAATTATTATAACTACACATTATCACATAGATTTGTTGATATTTATTTTATTATAGGTCAATAATGTAGGGAATTATTTTTTATTGTATAAATAATAAATTATAATGTTTTTAAAATGACTTGTGTCTCAAGTAATTTGAGTAATTATTATTTATGTATTGACTAATAATCAATAATAAATTTATTTTATCAACTATATTACAAAAGATATTTTGAATAGTTTATTTTTGGCTGCATTGAGTGAGGATAATTAAATTGATATGCCACCTATTCATTTATGATATTGATTAGTTTTTCAAATATTTTATAAATGCCTTGGTGTTTTATTTGAAGATTACATTTAGGAGTATCGTCTATTAAATGTCATTGTTTTATAAATTCCCATGGAATATTATGCATGAGTGAATGTAAATGATTATAAGTGTTCATTATACCGCACCATTAAATATAATAACAATATATTTCAACGGCTATTTGCACATAAAAGATAAAAATTTTTTTTTTACTTGTAGTTCGTAACTTGAAATAGTTAAATTTTGATGTACAAGTTGCTATATTGAATCTACTTGTGGGTAGGTTATGGGTCAGATTTTCAAAAACAAAAAATTAAATCAAATGAAATAAAAATACTTGAGGTATTAATACAAAAAAAGTTATTTCGTAAAATTCGTTTCATTTTTAAAAAAGTTATAGAAGTTTTAAGAAAAAAAAAGTATAAAAAAATGTCAAAGTTTACCTGATTTTATTACTATAAATTGCAAACAATCGTAGAACTTAAACGCTAACGTTTATGGAATGTACACGTTTATTGAACTATACGTTAAACGAACAATAAAATTTTGACCGTCTACCTAATAGATCAATAGAATCTGTTCGTGACGGCCGAACGTGATAATTTTTTTTTCAGACTCTCTGTAAAGAAATTTCACTTCAAAAAATGTTCTAGTTATCAATGGTTTATAATAAAGTGAGGTAACGAAATACAGGTAATTGAAAGCATTAAGCGCATTAGTGAACGCATTTTGTATAGAAATTATCTATAGACCCGCTCTAAGAAAAGATGTTTATCTTGCGGCTGTTTTAAATGTGACTTGCAACATATACACTTTTACACCTAAGTTTACGGACCGATCAGACTTTATAACCGAACGTATAGCACAGATTTTACGGTTACCAAAAAGCTACGTTGATAAAAGCGTCCAAGGAATCTGTGAAAAAGTCCTGAGTAATTATTACAGCCAACTAACGTTTAAATGACTGTTCTGTAACGTTCCTATGTTTATTTTCTAAGCGCGTTACGAGTAACCTACCAACCACTCTACTAAATGATAGCTGCGTGATTCTTAAGTTTATGGTCTTAGCAGATCCGCGCTTCACCGTACGACGGAAAATCGACTTATTTATCGGAGTGGGTCACTTTTACGATTTAATGTGTGCAAGGAAAATAAAACCACAACCAGATGATCCTGTATTTTAGGAAACAAAGTTTGGATGGGATTTTGCTGGTTCATCGTAGAATAAGTAGCTCAATAGTACGAGCCAACAACGACGGTATTCCTTACAATCAACAACGATTTCGACTTATCACTAGAAAATTTGGTGGAATGTGAATCCAATAGATATCCTGATGTGTGTCAATTATTATTCAATGACATTTATGTGGACAATTGGTTAGTTGGTGCAACGAAACGGGCAAAGACAATATTATTATCATCGTAAAAAGTGCCGGTCGACATTTACGTAAATGGTTGTTGAATGACAATAGTTCGATAAGTAATTTACTTACCGAATACAACACAGATAGTGATCCTCCGCGTCTTGTCGATAAAGACACGACGAAAATATTAGGCCTGTGTTGGGACCCACTTTCGGATTCATTTAAATATGCAGTAAGTGAAAACATAATAAACAATAACAATATAACGAAGCCTACAATTTTATCGAATATAGCAATAATTTTCGATCCCCTTGGTTTGCTCGGACCGGTGTTAGTTGTTGCAAAAATTATTCAATTTTCAATTATTCAATTGCAACGTTTATGGTGTATTCAACTCAGTTAGGACGAAATAGTTACGGTGGAAGTCGTTGGTGAATGACATATTTATAATGCACAATTAATAACATTAAACAAGTTCATAGTCCAAGATGTATGTTATATGAAGATAGAATATTTGAATTACAGCTACACTGTTTGCCAATTCATCTATCAGTGTAACTCTCGCATGGATTTCATCTCCATCTGTTAAATGGAAAACGTTCGTTGCGCATCGTGTTGGTGGTCGTGGACGTAAAACGTAAAATACACGATGGATTCTACAATGCCAATCAGTTAACTTTTTTAAAAATCTAATAATGAACAAGAATATCAAAGAGCTATAAATGAAAAAGATTAGTAATTGCACGACTATCGATTACTGTACATTAGGGTGACCTTTAGCTACATGAGAGGTTTTTTCTTTTAATATTTGTAAGTGCCACCCCCTAGAATTATTCGAATACACGAAAAAATAAATTGTACAAAATTTGGAGACGATTTGTCAACTCTAAGACGTGCCCCAAGGGGGTTAAAAATAACCCCCTTGGGGGATTATTTTTTTTTTTTTGTCTATCTCAAAAACTTTAGCTTTTACGAAAAAGTTTATTTGGACTTTTTTTAGGTATACAATTGTTTTATAAAAAAATTCCGGCGTTGTTTTCCTAATTGCAGTAAAAGCACATTATTGTGTATCAATCTGTAATAGGTATTTTTTTTGTGCTTCGTCTTTTGTTAAAATATTATTTTCAACAAACTTCAATGTGAAGCTGAGACGGTATTAGTTTTACTCTGATGTGTTTTTTTTAAATTAAGATCAAAAAAATTGTAGGTTTTGAATGGTAAATAATAGAAAAAATGTCGAATAAAAAATGTATAGAAAATTAAATTTAAAACAACGGTTAAATGAATTTTTTTTTGTTTTTTCAATGAACCATTTATAAATTAATAATTTTAACGGTAAGAATAGAACATGTACGTTTTTATTTTTTTAGGGATAAATAAGAACTTTTCAAAAATTTTTGTATTTATACTTTTTATAGAAAAATTGTATACCTACAAAAAAAATCTAAATAAACTTTTTCACAAAAGCTAAAGTTTTTAAGATAGACAAAAAAAACTAAAAAATCACCCTTGGGGCACGTCTTCGAGTTGACCAATCGTCTCCAAACTTTGTACAATTTATTTTTTCATGTATTCGAATAATTCTAGGGGGTGGCACTTTGTAATTTTTAAATTTTATAAGGGGCACCCTAGTGTACATACAGTGAGAAATGAGACGTAAATATAAAATATAAACAAAAACGACGGACGCTCACTGAGGAAGGGACGATGACCGAACGACACGCGAACACGTTCGAGAACTAGTCATACGCGTGCGCCACATAAGACACGAAGACGGGAATCTGAGTTCGCCACATTCTACCCAACAGTTAGTACCATAATTGAATCGATTATAGATAATATCTGATATTTATAAATATCACTATCATTAAAAACGTTTTAGTTCTGCACTGCTAGTTTTCATAAAATTTTCATCCACTCATATTCATATTGGAATTTAAATATAAAATGGAGTACCCGACGAACTAACATGAAAAGTTAATCTTAAATATTTGAAGCATTCTATTTGATTTATACGTTTTTATTTAAAAATAAAGACATAGTTACCTTAAAACTGTAAGCTATTTTTTATATTTAAAATAACACGTAAGTAAATAATAATGTAATAGACAATATTAAAACATATTTGGAGATTTAAATAAATTTTGTTTTTGTAACATTTAATATAATTTAATACTGATTTTTCTTTAAAATTTTAGCTAATACAGTCAAAAATTATTTTTGAGTAAGAAATATATGTATATTTATTTCTATTTTTTTGATTACCACCCTTAAAAATGTTTTCAATTAAGTTATCTGAAATTTGTGTTTTGTTACTCTACACAATTGTGTTAATTAAAGCATATAATAATACGGAAAGAAACACGGCAATCATTAATACTTTTTGTGATAACAATTGGTGGAAACAAATATCTATTTTACAGTCAGTGAAATGCGGTAGTAAATATTATCATTTATCGGAAATTAATAAAATTGTTAATCGTGAACAAGGCAATGGTAAAGTACGCGGTGCTGCTTTATTCCTTGGTTGTTTATACGCTATAGATTTATTAGAAATATTCTATATGATCAATTTTTATCAAAACAAATGTGAAATCGTTCTATTACAAAATCATAATCCCTACGAGTGTACAATAAATTTATTGCGGATCATTAAGAAATTAACTTTATTGGCAACAGTCATAAAAGAATCACTGATTGCATTGGATGCGTTATATAATATGCGACCCAACACAACAAAAATTGATTACATATTATATAATTATTTGACACGTTTACAGAAGGTTGAAAGAAATATTTTTCACAAGCTTCCATTGCAGGATAATCCAAAATCTTGTGAAATAATCTTAAAAAACGTTGGGTTAATATTTAATGCAATGAAAGAAGATATTAAACATGAAATACAAGACAAAACAATAATATGTTTTTTTAAGCCTGAAATATTTGAGCCAATGGTGCAAAATTGGGAGACAGTATATAAAATACAAAATAATGAAGAAAATTTTTTTTTTTTTAATGATTTGTATACAAAAATAGATAACGAAATTAGGATGATTGTTATAGAAAAGTGTTACAATTTAGGCTTCTATTTCAACACTGAAATTATGATGATTGATGTATCAGTGCCACAAGAAGTTCTTGATCGTAAGTTTTGAAAAAAAACATTTCATATTGAAGTATATTAAATTCTTTAAGATTTTTCATAAAATTGATAATTAGTGTTAATTTATAGTTACTATAAATTCCATTAAAATTAGGAATGTTGGGTATGTTGATATACTTAAGCTATAATTGAATCTTATAAAGAAAAAATTCACCATTAAAACTTGAAATTTTGTAGAAGTACTATTTAATATATGTAGACTAATTGGTGTAAGCTCATTAATTAATATTACTTCTTTTAAAATTATTGATTAATTTGAAATAAGTTATATTAGTCGAATTACCTTAGGCGCGGTAAGAGATTATTTTTTTTAATAAAACAAATTTAAATATCTACCATATCTTTTAGGTAATGCATAAAATTGTATTAGACGTATCTTGTCCATTGAATAGTAATTCATTACATATCACTTTAAGAAATTTTTAACATATTATACAATTTTTAATTGGTCTACCAAGTAATTAAAAAAAAATCGCGTGTAAAAATATTTATAGACAAAATCGACATCATTAAGATATGCTCCTGGTCAATTATTATGTATTTTTTTTTAACTAAGTTAGTTCATATAATGATGAAGCTATTATTTTTTATAAATAAATATTTCATACAAATAACTAACATTTTTCATTACATTTTTATTCAAACCCCTCCAGGAAGAACAACTTGCCTCATTCTCGCCTATATTTGTTTTTCAATAAGTAATTGTAAGATTATTTATGTTTATATAAAACTATATAGGAATAAGTATATTCGCAATATACTTAATCAATAAATGGTTGCTTTTCAATCTTGGTTACTAATGATAGTTTTAAAAAAGATATTTCTTTATACTTAATAACTATAATAAAGTAAATTTAAATAGAATTGTCTTTAAAACTAGCTTAGTATTTTCAGATTTTTAAGAAATATAACATAATAATCTACCTAAAATAATTGTTTTATTATTGAAATTCTAAATAATTACCTAAGGAATTATTTTTAGTAAAAGGTTTAAAGTTATTTCGTTTTCAATATAGTTCCGAAAATATGGAATACGTGTAACATTTTTTTAATAAAAAAATCTGAATTAAACATATACATAAAATTATTGTTGCTTTATTTCAATAGACAATATAGTTATTGGTGTTAAAATTAGTTACATTTAAATTTAAAATGTTTATTCATATTTAATTTGTACATGAAATATTTCATTAATTTTAAAATACATTTTGATATTTTCCGATAATTTTTTGTAATTTCTATTGTCTTATAAATTATAAATCACTACTAGGAATAACCTATAATTAAGGCTAATGTTAGTGAAATTTGAGGATTTTTTTTTTACTTTCATCTTTTACTTAACTTTCATCCAACATAGAAAATTGACTTGGTGACCGTGTACTTTACTGTTAATAGATCAAATATACAAAGGCATCAAAATTAATTTATTCAATCAGTTTCACTCATTTTAATACTATTATTTTTTTTTATATTTAGAATACCCGAAGAAATCAATACAACCATACATATTACAGTTTATGGGGAAAGGTAATTATTATATATTTATAAATTTGTAGTATAACCGAAGTATTTAAAGTTATTTTAAACCTTGATCTAGTATTGTATATTAGCTACGATAATATTAATTTTACTAAGATGTGTTTTTTGTTGTGTTTCGTACCACTTATTCTCAGCTCTAATTGGACCGACTTTTTTCATCGATATCAAAACAATACAAATTGTATCTAATTAAAGACATTATCCTCAAAAATTGAAAAAAAATTCTTTTGTTCTCCGTAAATAGTGAAATCTTCAAACAATATTTTTAAAAATCAGTAATTTTTGACATTTTTAAAATTTTTTTTATTTTAAACTGCCATTTTGAGAAATATATGAATAAAAACAATTTTTTTACCTTAGGTACTTACCTATCATTTAGTACACTTTTTTTGAAAATCTAACTTTTTAGCTGCTGTCGTGCGTCGGTAGTGCCCCGACGTAGACACAAAAAGTCGTACACAAATTAACAAATGTTTTTTGACGACGAATTCGTCGTTTTTAGATCTTCTCGAGTCCTCCCGTTGGATACACTGGTCAGCCCCAATCTCTCAAATAAGTGAACAACTAAAGGGGTAGAGTTTAGTCCCGTCAGCACGGTTTAGCTCAAAAGTAGCAGACTGAAGGGTGGCCCCTCGTCAACCACCAGCAGCACAACTACCTTTTCACTACACCTACTAAAGGACAGTTAAACTCAAAAACTAGCCAGCACGCACACTAATTATTAAGATTGACTAAAAGACCAGCAGTCCAATCTCGACTTTAGCCGTACACGCACATACAATTTTAACAGCACGGTGAATATAAAATATTTACGCTAAGTGCAGGTTTATAAATAGTTATTTTATTTAAGAAACGTAATAGTTAAGACAAAGTCAAAATGTAATATAAAAATGTAATACAAAACAAATTAAATCGTACAAAAAACAAAGTTACTCGTGTCAAACATCCTGACCAGTAACTCGACGTTTCTTTGGCCAAACTTCCAGTCCCACGCTACTTTTCATGTTTCCCTTTTATATTCTTCTTCCCACTGTTGGGTAATTTGCTTACCCTGAATTTCCCTTTTATATGACATTATCGTATTGCTTACACTGTTGTAAATTTTGTATTATACTTAAATCGACGTTATTCAGCTATTTACTACACTGCCTAAAATAGTGGAATCTAATGAAAAGTAACTTTTGAAAATGTTCCCAAAATATTAAAATCTTTAATCATATGTTACGTTCTAGGAATTAAAAAAAAAAAATTGTCCCTACGACTTTAATTCCTTGTATAAATGGCTGCCGTAGTTAAACATATGCAATTTTTGTGGTAAAATTTTTGATGTTATATTGTATAAATTTGAATTGTTTTTTTTTACTTTTTGAAAAACAGATAGATCAATACAAATTATTTTATTAAGTTTTATAAATTATCCTTTTTTTTGACATACCTTTTTAGAAATAAGATCATTTTCATTCGCACCTTAGAGTTCAAAACTTTAAACCAGAGTTGGGCAAAAACAAATCAAACTAATGAATAAAAAATAAAAGTATGAATAACTAATTAATTTGTGAATAAAGAATAATATTTTATTTTAAATAGTTTTAGTTGTGAATAATAAATAAAAATTATTCTGAATAATTTAACTTATGAATAAATTGATTATTCTGAATAAATTAGTTAAATAAATTGTGAATAATATCCAATTTTGGTGTAACAAAATTATGATAAAAATATAATATACATAACAAAGCAAATAATTATAACAACAATAACAATAATCGTGACAAAAATAATAATTAATTTTAATTTTTAGTTTCTATTTTGTAATTCATAATTTAAATTTGATTTTAATACAACTTTATACTCAAAATATAAAAATGTTATTAAAGCAGTAAAACGCAGGTAAATAACATGTCGATATCGAGTGCTAAACCATTTAGATTAGCCTTATAGAAATTATTTATGATTTTTGATTTTGACATTATCGATAGCAGATAATATAACAATAAGAAAGAAATACTAGTTTCAGTTTTCAGTTAAGTTGTAATTTTAAATTATCTACGAATCATTTAAGATAAACACGACTATGAAGAATAATGAATAACCGAATAATTGTAAAAATTAAAATAATGAATAAAAATAATCTAGAATAATCAAATGAAAAATAAACGAATAAAGAATAATTTTTTATTCAAATAATCAATCGAATAATTTTTTATTCGAATAATGCCCAACTCTGCTTTAAACATATATATAGAAAGTAGATCATTTTCAACTTAACTATTAAAAATGTTTCAAAAATACTCAGAGTCTCAAATTTATGTTAAAGTAAAGCTTATGTTATACACTAAAATTATAGTCCTACACTTGATACTTTATATTTTATAACACTTTACATTTTAAAATATATGTAAATTTGTTATTTATTCAATGATACGCTTTATTTCATCAAAGTGTATATTATTTACTTTGATATTCTTTGTTTTTTTAATCCACTTATTATGCGGGTATTTGTTTATTTTATAATCAAGTCCCTTGTATAAGTGTTTGACGACCCGATTCTCCTTATTGCAAGGAAGCCTTGAGGTTGGCGACTCCATGTCAAATGAGTCTTTATCCTGTAAGCAGCCATTACAGTTTTAATTGTATAAATGAAAAATGACATATAGGTGGCCCAAGAGAGAGATTAATTGTTTGATGAAAATCATTTAAACAAAATGGCCAGGGCACTAAATAGCGACAAACACATACCAACCCCAGTTGAGGATCAACGCCGATGCTAGCATTTTTGACTAGCACCTAGACCCGTTCGAATTGTTAACAGGCACTGTATTGGTCAGCTCTTTCACTCCTTATCCCGATGACAATTTATGATGTAAGATTGACAATTATTGTACAAGAGAAAATATTAAAAGGAAATGTACTACTAAATTACTAAGGGCCATTTAATTAAGTTATTACTCAATTTTAATGTGTCAAAAAATGGTTTTTATTTACAACGAAATTAACAACTCTAAGACTATAACATTTTATTACCAATTGTTTAGCAGTTTCACTTATTATGGAACGTTCACTAATAAATTATATAATTTACATAAGGTATGTTAGATCTTAATAATAGTGAGTTAATTTTTTACTTCACAAGGTTATTTTTTATTTTATTAGCTAATTAAATAAGTATGAGACCATTTAAAAAAAAAAGTTTAAAGGTATTTTTATAAGGTATAAGAAATTAATTAAAAAAAAACAAAATAATAAATAAATCGAGAAATATATAAAATTAAAAAATAAATATTATTTAAAAAAAAAATCGATTGGCTAATATTAAATACTATAATATTAATATTAGTATTTATAGTATTTGTTCATGTAATATATAAGTATTTGTTTTATATAAAATATATATTTTATTTTTTAAATCATAAAACTTATTAAACAAGATTAAATAAGGAAATAGAGTTTATGTTGCTTATGGATAAACTCACTAATTCCTTCTAAAATTTTAAACACTATCTACAGATTTGAATTAAATAAATGAAGTGTTATTGTGATTGTGATTTTAATCCCTGTCAAATATAATCAATACTGTAATGCACCTTACTGTGCCACAAATTCACTAAGCTACAATTTTTTTTATTTTCAATTGCCACAGATGTAAAAATAAAACTATAGTTCATGAATAGTCGGGTTTTAAAAACATTATTATTTTTTATATTTAGTTGAACCAAAAGAATCAGACATATCAAAATTTATAGAAAAAGGTAATTGTCATATATTTATGTATTTTTAGCATACTAGAAGTATTTAAAGGCATTTTAAACTTTGATATAGTTTTGTATTTTTATAAAATTTAAATAAGAGTGGTTAATAGTTTAACTCAAAAAGTTTCAAGGGATTATTTTAAAAATGAATTTAAGTTTATAGTTAAAGTAATATAGTATAAAGTAGCTTCAGAAAAACATCTTTTTACCACCCCCTTCCTACAAATTAAATTTTTTCTACGTCCAATGACTGCCATCATATTTGACGTTCATTTCGAAGTTACTACTATATTAATTTCATCAAGATATTTTATTTTAGTGTGTCTGACTCACTGATAAATAAATCAAAAGAGTCCGAATGAGCTAAAAAAAGTGCTTTACATTTTATTTATTATTACATTTTATTAATAAAAATTTCTAGAAATATGGCAATTAATGAAAATAGCACACTCTTTTTTTTTTTTTTTTTAACATCAAATTCGACCATTCAACTATTTACATTTTCAATCAAAATTCAAAAACTTTTGTGCGTTCAACATTTTTATTTGTACAAAAATTTATTAATATAAGTTATACTCCAGAATTTAGAAAATAATTTTTTTGTAATAATTAAAAAATATAGAATTCATAACATAAGTAAAATTGAATTTTGGATAGAATTATACATTATTAAATAAATCTTTCAATTTTCATATGTATGAATTGGAAGTTTTTAATGCATACAATGTAAGAAAAGAATTGAATAAGTGATAAATAAGTTATATTTGTGTACGACTCTTCGACACATTATGTCAAATTACACCTGCGTGTAAAATAACTTACATATTTTTAAAAATATTGATGATTTAATGTGTATGCAATAAGATTTGCGTTAAAAAATATGTTTTGTCGATTTATCTTTTACACAAAAATCAAATTAAAAAAATTTTTCTTTGTTTAACATTTAAGATAATTATTACATTATCTAACAATTGAGTTTAACACTATTCAACGTTTAAATAGTCTTATACATTCAAAATATAGTTTTTAATCTTTGTAAAATTATTCATATACTTTGAAAATATTTTGAAAATCTATAGTTATAAATATAAAATAATTGCTATAGTAATGAAATAAAAATCTTTAAATTCTCCAAACAATATTTATAATAAATAAATAAAATTGCGTTTGAACATAGGAGTTATTTTAAAAATGTGAAATAATTATATTTTCTCAAACAGTTAATTGGTTTTTTAGTATTTTAAAGAATGGAATATTACGCCACTAGTAACTTATAATTGTTGTTTATAACCTTTTTTATGCCTAAGATAACGTATAAAGTCCATATATAATGTATTTACACGATTATCGGAGATATTTTATTGAATAAATTCATTGACTCAACTAATATTTTCATTAAAAAACATATATCTTTTTCAGTGTGATCTCTTTTGTACATTAGTATTTTGTTCAACTTAATTTCAAAAGTGTCCCGGAATACCTGAACAATATTTTATCTTTTTTCAAGTTATTCTTAATGCACAAATGTTTCGAAACTTTTTATAAGAGTAGAGTTAATTACTCTGATTTTAATTTATATTGAAGTTTATTATTTCAGATCACACGGGTGTATAAGAAAGTTTAAATCCAACATTCCTATACTCCATTGCAAAATGTTTTGTAATAAAACAAATTAGATGAAAAATGTTTAGAAGGAAATTATTTAACCTACCTCACAGCTAGACTTCAACTATACTATTAAATTTTTTTTGTTTGTTTTAACAATTTTTATTCATAATTTTTTTTAGTTATGTAAACAAATAAAATATTAGTTTCAAATTAAAATATACATTTCATTCAATTAACAAAAAAAAAATTATAATACACCATGAAAACTAAGCATTTAATTAAAAAAAGTTTAATTTAAAATCTTTCACTCATAATATTTAATGATTATTTATATTATAATAGAAAAAGGAAAGAAATCTGCAACTGAAGTAGCAGAATTATTGGACTTTCTTGAAAAAGGTAACATTTTTCAATTATACATGTTTATAAGTTTTAAGATTGAAATGAAACATGATAATTATCTATAATTAAACCCTTTTCCTTACTTACCGAACACCACATAGATGTCTCACTGCGTATTACTGTGATGATGTCGCGTCACCATTAGTGTATAAAATATTATAAAATAAAACACTGAAAGCGCATTCGCTTCTTATGAATTGACAATAAAACATATATCGTGGTCAGTCTACTCCAATACTTGGCTTTATGCTTTGTGTCATTCATCCGTTTCAGAACTCGGTTTCGCTGTCTGGCTTACTGTATATTGTCAAGTCTTTATTCATTTCTTTTGCACTTCGTCCGCACCTCATACCATAGGTGTTACCCCTATTTCTTTCTATAACAACAGCCTTTCGACACCAACAGTTAATCCGGAGTGTTTGCTGTACTATTTATGTATTATTTCCATTATCATTATCTTCATACACTCGTACTCACCGCCCATCTATTAGTGGTTGGTTTTGTATTATGACATTATTATTTATGTATAACTCCTAAAATAATTATGATATTTGGATGCGATATTTTTCTTTGTACTTCTATGTATGTACTTCTAGCCTATGGCAAAACCGTGTAACTCGACATTTTAATATTTTTTATTTTTTTGAGAAATGCATACTTACACTGATGTCGAGAAAATTACAAAACTCTGAGAAATGAAAATGAAACTAATCCACGAGTGGTATATTTTCATAATAAATAAAGGTTATCTTTTTGAAAATTTAAAGTCGAAAACAATATTTTTTATTTTTAAAATCTAAATTTTATATAATTTTCTATCTAAATATTTTTTATTCCAGCATTAAGTTGGGACGAAAATGTATTTAACGAAGAGTTCCAAGTAACTGGATTAATATCTGAAACTCATCTGGATCAAAATCAGTCAAGCCATAAAATATTAAAGTTATAGTAGTAAGATAGTAGATTTTTTATTAAATATTAATTCATATTTACATCACAAAACAAGTGTAGTAATTACTAACTGCGAGAAAAGTCAGCAATATTTACAATCATTATATTATTATATTGCAGGAAACTCAATAAAAATTATACGTTTGAGACATAAACAACTAATTTACAAACATAAATTTATTTTTTAGCGTTTATAATAAAAATATTTGCACAAAAACTAAAATAATAAATAAATGATTAATAACATAATGTTTTGTAAAAATATAATTTTATAGTTTTCCAGTATTAATCTCATTTTTTAGATGGAAAACAAAATTCAAAACGAAAAATTGAAGAATTAAAGTATATTTTTGACACTGATGAAAATTATTTATATACCATTTATTCATAATAAACCATAAATTATCATCTGAAAATTTATGTATCAAGTCTTTCTATATTTATATACGTTTGTCATTAAAGTAACAACTCATTTATAATTATATATAGTTTCTTAGGGTGGTAATTTTAATCATCTATACTTGTCTCAACTATGCCATGTCGACACTATGCCGCAACCCCATTGTGCTACCGTTTTTGTGTCTATTACCACTTTTTCTCAACAATACGGTAAAAAATCACAAATTGTATTATGTTGAAGATTATGCCCATGAAAATTGAAAAGATTTCACTCGTTCCCCATAAATGGTAGAAATCCCCAAAAAAATTACGATTATTATAATCAGTAAATTTCGACTTTTTTTTCTAAAAATTGCCATAACTTATTGAAAAATGAAAATAATTTTTTTGTATATTGAATTCTCAAGTAATTTCCTTTTATTTGATATAATATTTTCGAAAATCTTGTCCCAACTATGACACGACCCCACTGTGCTGTTACTGTTTTAAAATTATTTCTTGTTTAAATTAAATGTTTAGTATTGAATCATTGTATTTATTAAAAAGAAAAACACTATTCAAAAATAAAAATATAAAGTAGGTGCAGGTAATAAGCAAGGTTATTAAAAAATATGTATCTTAAAGAAAACCTTTTTAAAACAAGTAAACAGACTAAAACTTTTAAAAAATCCTAAAGACCAATGTAAATTTTGGTGTTTTAACCGTTTAAAACACTAATATCAATAAGTTTAAAACATAAAAAACTTCATAATAAGGCCTAAATATTAAATTAAACACGAAAAATGATAAATTTTTACACCAAAAAAACATTTTATGTCTAAGTTCTGTAGACGTTTAAATATAGAAGACAAGATGTCGGGATGAATTTTTGAAATGAAACTACTTTGCAGAGGCCCGAAAAAAAAAGATTATCATGCATCACAGTCGGCCGCCCTGTTGGATTCTATTTTTTTATTTTGATCGTATACCTAATACGATCAAAATTCTATTGTTATAAGTGTTCAGTAAATAAAGTAATAGTTCAATTGTAATAAACAACGAGAACAAAAGAAACCCGTCTTCTTACTTACTGAACACTCTTCAGAATTTTGACCTCATATCTAATAAAACAATAAAATCTGTTTGTCGTAGGCTAAATGGTACGTTCTAACGTGAAAATCGATTATTGATACGTGATAATTGCCTCAAACGGATTTTATTGTTCGATGAACGTGAATGGATTTATATGTTTATAAAACACGTGTAAATATACGGTGTTTTCAATGATATGGAGTTTGTTTCAATTTCTTTTACCCAGATTTGAACTTAAAAATACATACATGACCTTTGTATGACTTATGAACGAAATATTTAGAGAATATTAAAATATTTTTATTCAGATTTATCTGGAAGATATAGTGTTTTTATTGAATAGCGAAAAAAAACATGAATGTAATTTACCTCAAAATAATTCTGTAACATCTAGAAATGCACGATTTCAAATGCCAAATGCCACACGAAAAAGTGTAAAGTCGGGATTTCAAAAATATTTATTTTGTTTATAGAGAAGGATGGGATGGTATGGGCAATATGACTCAATAAGTGATTGATTCAATTCAGTTATATGAAATGATTTTCTAGAAAAGACAAACATAATTTTT